CCTGGTACTGAAGGGAGCCTGTTTGCCCTCCCCGCCCGCTCGCTTGCGAGTCCGCGGCTCCGTGGGCGCCTTTCTGCACGTGCGCGGGGTCCGAGCGGCGCAGTGCGCGACGGTCCCCTCTGGAGGGAGCCTCGGGCACGGCGGGCGCGCGGCGCCCGCGCCACCCCGCGCCTCGGCACCGCAGCGCCCACCCCGCGAACAGCTTTTGGGCTCTACTGCCGCATGCAACGGAGCGGCAGCAGGCAGCGCAGCAAGATCCACSCGCGCGCGCACACAGGCGCACGCACGCACACCCGTCTCAGCTGCATCAGCTCGTCCAACACGCCTTTGAGGCAGTCTCACACAAAACGCCGGGGTGCCTAACATTTCCAGGGGCCGCTGACACCATTTAGACATTTTTCCAAGTGCAGATTGTTACACAGCTTCTGTGAAGTTAACTCTTTTAATCCGTTTCAGACCAAAATAAAGTACCACTGTTCAGGGAGCCATGCATCACACGTTGAAGTCCACTTGCTTGGGAGAATAAGGTCTGCTTGACACAGGGAGGACACCACAGGAGCAGAGGTGGCCCGGTGTCACTCAGCCCCAATAGCCATTGCTGGCCACAAGGGATGAACCACAAACTGCGGGGAGACCCCCGCTGCCTCCAGAACATCTGCACCCACTTAAAGGGCAGCCCGAGTCAAGGGGAATTCTGAGTGAATTAACTTTTCAGGGGAATTTCACACCGTTATCCAGAAAGGGGCAACTATGGCAGGAAGGGGAGGTGCCCTGTTTGCACACACACATTTGAGCTCTTGGGCCCTGTGTCAGCCCTTGCTGCCCTGCACCAGGGGCTCCTGCAACAGCTCAGGCCTCCCAGAGGAGCGAGGCACATGAGAAACCAAACCCTGGGCAGGGCACTCCGAGGAACTGAGATTTGCAGCACCTCTTTCCTTCTGCAGCAGCTCCTCCTCCTAAGCAGCTTGTGATCCCTTGCCCAAAGCCTGAAATAAAGGATGAAGATGCCAGACTTCATACAAGCTATTCCTGCTCATTTGTAACTTTTGTTTTTTGGTGGGGGCAGGGAAATCTATTTAAACCTGCCAAGGTTGCAGCATTCCCTGTAGAGAAGTCCTGGACTTCCTGGCAAAGGACACAACATGCTGGAAATAAAGGAAAACCCAGTAGGGCACAAATAGCTAGATGGTACAGAGGTCTGTATGGTGTGCGTGTGCATGCAGCAGCCAATGAGCGTTTCCACTCACAGCTGACAGAAATCCGAGCATAAAAACCATTGGAGTTCCTACCAAATACAGGAATCTCACAGCACTCAGAGATGGTTTTGCAAGTGCACATTTGTTTTTCATGATCTCATAGGTGGATCTTGCCCATCAGACCAGACTGGGATAAAACCTCCAAGTCTTTCCTGCGACGCTTTCCTGGAGGCTGCAAAATTCCTTTCCACTCTRACCGCAGCCCTTGGGTCACCCTCCACACCACAACTCACTGTTACACAGCAGCCTGCAGGAATCCACACTACTTGCTCCCCTAGCAATGGTCATGACTAGGTTTATTTGAAGTAACTAAAGTGGCTTCAACCACCCTGGACACAGAGAAGCACATTATGGTGACCACCTTCTCAGTTCCTCCCCAAACAGCTCTTGAGTCTCCCTGAACTCAAGCAAAGATTTCAAATAACATCCATGAAGTGTGTAAACATTATGAACACTGCAAGCACACAGAAATACCACCCCTGTGCTCACATACTACAATGAATTTAGACAGTTCCATCAGCAAGAAAAAAAAAAAATCCAAAACAAACATTTCTGAAAACCTGAGTTGTTTCTGATGTTTGGTGCAAGTTTTTAGGTACAGAACACCATGGTTTCACCTGTAGATACCTAATCCCATATTTATCCACTSGTGTAAGTGATTTAGTTTCAAATCTGCTGAGCAGAAAAAAATGGTAAATTCAGCCTGCATCTCTGGAAAAAGCAGTCATGTGGCTAATTGCAACCTCTGTGCTTGGGTCTGTATTTCTGACCACAAGCAGAAATATTGTCTGAAAATGCAGTACCCCCCAAGTGTTTTCCTTGAACCTCAGTGATAGTATGGACAGAATTAAGATTAATCATTTGAATAATCAAATCATACAGAGTTACTTTTCAAATGAAACTGCAGTTCATATAGATAAGGTATGATCTGTATGTGATAAGTCTTAACTAACTCATTGATAGGTATCATGAATTTAAAGTATCCTTGGTTCTTCATGTTGCAGCTTTTCTGTAGTTTTCATAAAGCTACTACTCARTGTGTAGCAGGGTGTTTTTTATGTGACTTGATTGCAGTTGTTGTTCTAGCCCAGTGAACCTGAGGACTACCGTCGCACAGACAAGTAAAATTTTGACCTATGACTTTTTCTTCCAAATGGGAAAAAATAAACCTTKCACATCCAAGGGAAGGACTTGGAGCCACTTGCTGTGAAAGCACACGTTAGTCCTGGTGTACAGGGCTGTTTGCTCCCCCCTGATCTTGTGCAGGAAAGCATGTTTGAAAAGGTCTGCGGCCRCTCCGTACTGAATGGCAGCACTTCCTTGCTGGAAACGATCTGTGTTTAAAGCAAACACAACTGTCCAGCACCCATTGCAGGCTGGGACCCCAACCCTGCTAGTCATTGCATAATGATCATTACAGCCATAAGCAGCCCCCGAACTAGGGAGAAGGGAGGGAACAGTCACCTGTGAAGAATCACTAGTTCCTCAGGTGAAACCAATCATAAAACTACAGGTTCAGTTCATAATACTGTTTAAGTGATCTCAGCTTGTAGGGGAGCTTTGGACGGATAAACTGACAAACACACACAAGTAATTAGACAAGAAAAAGAAAGGAAGGAGAAGAAAGCATTTATGAATGTCACTGTCCAAAGTCTTTTAAGTGTAATAAGATTATCTACACATATCTACAAATATCTACAAGTATCTACACTGTTTGCAGATATGATTCTTTGGTTGTCATGACTTTTTTCCTACACTGCAACTATCACGGAAAAAAAAATGCTTGTATAATCTTTGAAAGAAATAATAAATATAATAACTTCATTAAACGTTTGACCAAAGCTTTGGCACTAATCAGTTTACAGGTAACAAATCAAACCTCTGGAATAACRGCGGCAAAGCAACAGAGCACATCAGAGAGCCATTTCCCACTGATTAATAATAAGCACAAGGCTATTTTACATCAGCCTTTCTGAGAACATTAATTATGGTTTAGTCAGACACTAAGAATTTCACAATTCACTGCAAATGTCAAATAAAATACATATTTCTTGCACAAGTCTTTTCCATGGATCCAGATATATTTTTTATAACAGAAAAAAAATACAGAAAATACTCGTGTTAATCTGCAATCCCTTCTTAACCCTTCCAAAGRGTTTTAGAGCCCAAAGCCTGCTGCCAGGGAATGAATAAATGTTGCTATTAGCACTGCCACCTGCRTACGGGAAGGATCGTTTTTAAAGGTATTAGCAAACTGCTGCAGATTCTGTAGTAAAGACGCACAAACACAGATGAATAGAGAACTYTAAACACTTTTTTCTTTCATAGAATCACATGAAAGGATCAGGAAAGTATAATACTGTATATGGAGACAGCTGGGGAGCTGCTCAATACCTTCTCTGAACGACACAAAAGGACTGACATTTGGTGACACTTTTTTTTTAAATAAGACAACTATTCAAAACACATCATCACTGGAGAAACTGTGATGAATGGGGCCATCTTTTCCCCACTACAGAAAGGCTACTAAAGGGGGAAAAAAAAAAAAAAAAAAAAAAAAAAAAAAAAAAAAAAAAAAAAAAAAAACCTTACCAGCTTTAAGAGGCAAGAGGCAGCAAGCAGGTAGATGCAGAACAGGTGCTTTAGAACTACTGCAATTTGAGTCAACCAAATACGGGGGGGCATTCTGGGGAAAAACCCTGAAGTTCCTCTAAAAGGCAAAGGCATCTCTCGAGCGTGGCACCAGGAGGACGCAGGAAGGCAGTTCCGCGAGGCTTCTGCGGGAGCAGCCGTTTCCGAACTCTTGTGGAGTGATAGGGCCTGGACATGGCAGCCATTCCCCCCAAACCCGGGCAAGTCTTTTGACCTTAGTAGTATCAGCAGTTGCAAAAAGAAGCTGTGGATGACTGTGCTCTCGGACAAATGCTCAACAGCTCAAAAAAAAAAAAAAAAAAAAAAAAAAAAGTTTTGTGGTTAAGCTGCCCCCATGAATCCTAAACCTCACGGACAGGCCAGCAACAGGACAGCTGGTGTGGCTTGTACTTCTTATAGTGCTTGGGATCCAAAGCATTCCCTTAGGTTAAACTGTTTCCAGGCTCCTAGAAGAACCGGGCCAGTTGTGAACAAGGCCAAGGTAAAGGACAAACTTAAATGAACGCCAGCCGATTACCCTGCAGCCCTGTGGGCCGCGGCTGCCCGTGGTCGGTGTCAGCCAACCCCGCAGCACCGACCCGTCCTACTTCGTGTTAACGTAACACATTCCCCGGCTGGGAAGCTCGTGGCACTGCCCGAAGCGGTGGTACGACAAGATTCCCCCCGCAAAAGCCAGGCAGGTGAGTGGAGGAGACCCGGGGCTGGCAACCAGGACGGCCGGGGCAGGGCCGTGGCGCTGCCCGCGAGCCGAGTCCCGGGTACTTCACCTCAGAGCCGCCATCGCGCTGACCTCGGCACCACTGGCTCCATCTTACCTGCTTCCCAGGGGCCCTGCCGCCCTCATGGCCCGACTCCGCACGGAGRTGGGACGAGGCATCCGCCAGAACATGGCGGCAGGGGTAGAGAGAAGGGGGATAACGACATATGGCTTCATTTATCAAAGTGCAGTGCGGGTCACGCGGCGATGGCGAGCGCCGCGCGTGCCGCCCGCCGCCCTCACAGCCCGCCGCAGGGGCGGGGGCGGCGCGGGCGCCCCGGCTCCTGCCATTGGGCTCTCCGCTTGTCGCTCGAGCCGAGCTGCCCTATCAGCTCGCTCGCGAGGCGGGAAGGGAGGGAAAGGCGGGAAGATGGGGAGCACGGCAACGGTCCTAACGGTCGCGGCCGCCGCTAGTCTCTGGCCGGGGTGGTGACGTTATCTGGGCCCGTAGTCGTAGTTGGCGGGGGCGCCGGCCGACGAGTACATGTTGGCGGCGGCCGCCGCCGCCGCGGCCGCCGCGTTCATGTGGTGGTGATGGTGGTGGTGGTAGGTGTGGCCGCGGATGCCGGGCAGCGGGTATGGCGCGGGCCGGCTCTTGGCGCCCAGGTAGTGGTCGTAGGCGGCGGCCGGCGGGTACTTGTAGGGGTGGTGGTGCAGCGGCTCCGAGGCGGCGGGCTCGAGGCGCAGTTCGTGGTGCGGGGGGCTCGGCCGGCCCGACATGAGCTGCTGGTGCGCGGGGTCGCCGTGCAGGGGCGTCCCGCCCGCCGCCTCCCGCTCGTAGTCCCGCCGGGCCTCGGCGCCGTCTGCAAGGGGAAAGCGAGGGCGGACGGCGTGAGCGCCCGCCCTGCCCGCGCCGCGGGRTCGCGGCGGGGAGCGGGCCGGGGGCAGCACCTCCCCGCCGCCACGAACGGGGCTGGCGAGTCGCTGCACGCCCCGGATTTTTGCAATTGTGTAACCCTAAACAAATACAAACTTCCCTTTATTTTACGAGCCCGGAGCGCGCCGGGAAGAAAGGCCTCCGGTTGTGCCGGCTGTTGTTTCTCTGCGCAGGGGAAAAGCGGGCGAGGGACAGGGTTGTGCTGCCCACCCACTCATGGCTCCTGGAGGGCAGTGGGCATCACAACGCGCTGCGAGCTGCCCACACTGCCCACACTAGCCTGAAAGCTAGACTCGCAGCCCAAAACTGAAACAGGACACTGAGAGGAAAAGGTGCTTTAAACCACCGTGCTGCTTTCCTCCCGTTTGATCACAACTGCACAACAGTACTGAGTGTTTAGGCCTAATAAAAGTGAACTAGACTAAAAAAATGTCTATTTTAAAAATAAAAAATAGATGCCATTACAAAGCTTGTTAGCAACAGGGACACACAGGACTCTCTGCCCACTGCAGGTGGCTGTGCCCCAGTGGTATGAGTGAGGCTGGCTCCCAGCACATGTGTGGTGCCGGCTGCGTGACCAGGGCAAGGGAGGCAGGCCCGGCCACTCGTGCCTCTCACCTTTCTCTGTCCCATTCTGGTGCGCAGGGGAAGACACCGGGTTGCGAGATCTGGCAAAAGCACTCATGAGAGGCAGGGCCCCGGGCCTGTGATTCCTGGGCCTGGAAAAGGAAGAGGAAAAGTGATACTGAGCTATTGCTCCAGCCAAACGGGCACGTGCATGCACTGCTGCAGCTGGCAAGCGAAGAACCCCCTCAACATGATACATGTCTTATATAGATGTGAATATAGCAGTATGTGCTAAATTGGGGGCAAGAGGGGGCTCGTTGTGGTCAGCAAAGAAGCAGCCTTACCAGTCTTCAGGGTCACAGTCTCTGAATCCCTTGGCAAAAGGGTTACTGGCGATCTTGAGCTGTGTGATCTGTAAGAAAAAGCAGAGAACAGTTCGTGAGTGTCACACATTGGGCTCCTGGTTGGGTGACAAATGTGCCTGTGCCCAGACGTTTAGGGTCAGTTGTTCCCATGTTAACAGGGTCCCGGGTGGCATGGGCGGCTGCGGTGCTGCTGGGGCACAGTGCTGTCGAGCACAAATACACAATTTGCCTCCAGTGGAAAACGCGGGGTAGGACACCACCTAATATGAGTTCAAGGCGAAGTGAGAGGCAGCCCGAATTGGCTGCAAAAGCTGCATAAAGGCACTTGTAAGAAAATGCCACATTATATGGGTCACTACTGGAGCAGCTAAGACAAATCACTGGATAAATCATACTTATGTATTTATTTAATTCGCCAGGGAGAAGACAGGACATTTTCTATATTTAAGCAAATCCACGGATAAAGTATGTGATTGTGAGTTTCCGGAATGGGTTGAAAAACAAACTTTAAGCCCCTCAGTGACAGTTCCAGCCTTAGAGGTCAAACTGATAGAAAGCAGGAGAGAAAGAGCAGCTGTCCGGAGCCATCAGGCAAATGCCAGCGGGGAGGGACTCGGAGCCCCTTAAAGGCGCAGTCGGCCCAGGTCCGGCGGGGAGGTTGTGCGTGGCCCAAGCCCCGTTCTGGGGACCCCCCGCGGGAGGGGGCTGCTCACGGCTATTGCGAGAAGGGGCTCCGCCGCCGCCTGCCCGCGACCAAGTGCGTGCGGAACGGCCGGGCCGCTGCGCCCCTCGCAGGGGCCYGCGCATCGGTGCGGGGCAGGGACCAGTCCCCGAGCAGCACTGGGAAAACCTGCGCTGAAACCGCTTTTGTAGGCGCGGCCAGGATGACTGCTCTTTACATTACCCTGATGCGATTTAAAGAAGCGGGAGGATTAGCCGCTGCTTGAAATCTACCCGGGATTAGGGGAGAGGGAGTCGTGTCGTGTGCCCCCCCGCCATCAATACAACTGTGTTGTGCTGAGGAACAGCCCAGGAGGGAGGGAGCCCGGAGAAGCAACAACAGGTTTATCCAAACAAGCCGTGAGCGGCTCTGGGCGATGGGAAACCCGTGGGTTCCCAGCTCGCCTGCTCTCGGTTTGACACGGGCAACGTGTCCCCGGGCATCCCAGGCCTCCGGCCGGCAGCACGAGCGCTCTACACCAGGGCGGCCCCGCCGCAGTGCCCTGTCTATCGGCTTCCTCTGCCCTCAATGGGTTTAGCAGATGGGCAGCAGGAGCAGGGAAAACGCTCGGGAATACGCTCGGCACTGCCGGGCAGCCACCGCCCGGGCGCCCATCCCGGCACGGAGCCCGGGCAGCCCCGCCGCTGCTGCCGGTTCCCGTGTCGGGCTCATCTGCTTCCTCCCGGGGCCCCGGCCCGCTCACCCGGTGGTTTTGGTAGGCGGTCACAGCCGTGAAGCGCGTCTCCTCGAACACGAARGTTTTAAAGTTCTCCTCCGCGTATTTCTCGCTGTCTTTCCTGGGGTCCACGTAGACCACGTGAAAACGCGGCTGGTATCTGTGCATGGAGTTCAAAATGATCTGAATGATAAAACGAGCAAGGAGACAATAACTGATCCAGGCGGAGCATGGAGAGCGCAGCGCGCAGCCGGGGCAGCCCCGGCCGCCTCTCCCGCCGCTTCCCCTGGGACACTTACGTGCCCGTTGTCGTCCAGCAGGTTGTTGGTGAGTTTGAGCTTATCGAAGGAGACGATCTGCTTCATCCACTGCGCCCCTTTGGCCGGGGAGTCGGGGTGGTAGTGCACCCTGCCAGGGGTGGCGGGGTCGGCCTTGCCGGCCACGAGCCACGAGGAGCTGTGGAAGGCGTATCTGCCGCGGGGACAGCGCCGTGAGCGGTGGCTCCGCGGCCCCCGGGCAGCTCCCGCTTCCCAAGGACACGGGGGGCACGGGCGCCTCCCGACAGCCGCCCGCGGGCTGAGTGTGTAGGGGGGGAAATCGTATTTTATCAGCTCGCCCGTGGCGCTTGCCGGGAGGGGTCTGCGGGATCGGGGAAATTTACAGCTAACCTGTGCGGAGTCGGGAGAGAAGCCGCAAATGCTCCTCTCCCTCTACAAAAACGAGAGAAAAAAAAAAAAAAAAAAAAAAAAAAAAAAGGTGAAAGAGAGCCCTCTATACGGTAATATTCTGGCTCTAAGCGAAGAGTGGAAATTTATGCGCAGCTTAATAGCAGTTCCAGAGTTTAGCAGTCTTGTTTCATTCTTTCAAAGTACATATTCAAGAGTAACGTTTAAAACAGAGAAACCAATCTTCTATACASGTGTTTACTTTAAACGCCGGTGTTTGCACAGGGGGAATTAGACACCATTGGACTCGAGCAGAAGCATTACTTTTTAAAGATATACTCAATTGGATGTTATATACCCCACTTCCCTTGACAAGCAAACATTTCTAGGACGCCCTGAAAATTTGGATATCTGTCTAAATATTTATAGAGCGGACCCCAATCCATTGGTGCGCTCCTGCCAGGCGGCCCGCTCTGAAGCCGCTGCATAAACGGCATCTTTACCGGGAAGGCACCGGAGCGGCCCGCTCCGCTGCGCGGGGAGCCGGGACTCTCCGAGGGGAAATCCCGCTCTCTTCCCCCAAACCGGAGCGCCCCTCGGCGTCCCCTTCTCCGTCCGCCGAGCACCGGAGGCTTTTAGGGGTGGAGACGCCCCGAAACGTCCCAGGTGCGAGGGGGACAAGCTGTCCCCGCGTGGAGKCTACGCCCGTCGCGTCCCGTCGTTGCGCGAGGTCCAGAGGGTCGCGGCGGATCCGTGACCGGGCGCCCTGCCCCGCCCGCCGCGGTACTTGCCGGTATCGCTTGTCATCCACGGGGACGAAATCCATGAGCAGCATGTAGTCCGCCATGGGGTCCATGCCGAAAATCTTCACCTGGAACGTGGGGAACATGCGCCTGGCACGGAGAGAAGCGGAGAGCTGAGCGCGGRGCGAGCGCTGCCTCGCGCCCGCAGCCCCCACCCTGCCCCGCACGGGGCTTCGCCCACCCCACGCGCCGTCCAGCGCCCACGGGCTGACGCAGGGACAGGGCGAGCGTGGGCAGCGATTCCCGTTCGGCTCCCAGGTGCCTCCAAATGATGAGCGGGGCGGCTTGTGTCGCACACGCATCCTTCCTCGTCACCTCGGGGTGCCATGGTGCGGCGGGAGAAGGCGCTGCCGCCTTTGCCTTGCAGAGGGGTACAAGAGGGACTGCAAGAGTTTCGTCTCCTGCCTCTTTCTACCTTTGAAACTCCCGTGCGCGGAACTCCGGCCCCCCCTGGCCCACGGACCCCGTTCCTGTGAGCCCTTCCCGGACCCGTTTTCTTGCCGTCTGCTCCCTGCAGACCCCTCGCGTTCCCGTCTCGCCGAGACACTTTTTTTTTTTTTTTTYYCCCCAGAGGGGCTGCAGGCGAAAAGAGGCCATGGAGACCCGGGAATGGCCCCGTACGGGCCGTACTCAAGATGAGCCCATTTCTCGCGTCTCGTTACGGCTTTGCTTTTCTTCGATATATCCTTTACCCGCGCAGGAAACCCGAGCGAGCAGCAGCAGGAGGCACTGCGGCAAGGAGGTCTGAACATGCTGAAAAATCAAACCCACAAAATCCCCCCGAAAAAACAACCGAGTAGAGCGGGGCCCCGTTCGACCCCTGGCCCCTCGCGGGCCGGGCCCGCTCCGCGCCGCCCTTGCGCTTTCWGGGTTGCGCTGCTGCCCCGAGTAGAGGCTGCCCGAGCCCGGGCACAGGGGCCGCGGCTCCGGCTCCAAGGCCGCGCAGCTCCTTCCACCCTGGCGCGGCCCGGCACCTCCGGCTCCTTCTCCGTAACGCCTTAGTAAACGCTGGAGGACATTTCCAGGCGYTCTTTTTGTTATTATTATTTTTAAAGGTGCAAAAGTCCCCATTAGCTCAAGTTCCGGCGCTTCTTGTTTTAAAACKWMGTTTTAAAACAAACAGCCCGCGTTGATAAGACCCACCTAGACAAACAGGGCCAGCCGGAGGCGCTGGGCAAAAGAGGCTTCACAACGTCTTCCCTACGCCTTTTCCTGCTCCTTTCACCCCGCTTTATTTTATTTTTTGTTTGTTTTTTACCCGCCTGCCTGAAGATTTGCCAGTATCATTAAATAAACGAACAGGACGATAATTAAAAAAAACCAAACAAATAAATAGAAGCGCGCGACATGACCGGTTTAATTCCCTTTCGTGACCATTTGGGAGCAGGCTCCCGCAGCCCTCCCGCCGTCCTGGCAGCGACGAGGAARCCGCGTCGAGCGACTCCCGTTTGCAGGGAGCGGCCGCGGCCTCTTCCGCGGGCGGAGGCGACGCGGGACTCTTCGCTGCGGGAATCGCGCCCTGGCGGCCCCGGCCCTCCGGCGGCTGCTTTTGCACCAAACACCGAGCCGATAATTATTATTTTTAATAGCAAAGTGCTATTTTGAAGTGTGTAGTAAATACACATACGTGTTTCTCCCACCTCCAGGAGTCTCAAAAACGCCGCAGGCAGCAGAGTGAGGGGCCGCGGCAGTAGCGGTGCCGAGCCCTTCGGGAGCGGAGCCCCTTCATCCCCCCGCACCCCACGGTCCTTCCCGCGCTCATCGAGAGCGATCGCCGAGAATACAGATATATATTTTTTCCACTTTTCATTTTCCTCCCTCCTCGTTTCGTTTTAAAACGAGGGAACAAGACAGCGCCTGTGCAGCGCAGCCGGCACCCGGGAAGCAGTATCCCTACCCTGCAACGAACTCCCGCAGCAAAGGCGATCGCAATTACATGCGGTTAATTAACAAGCCTAATTGGGTCCCCTCTATTTTCCCCAGCTGTTTTGCTCAATTCTAACGCAGCCGGAGCAGCCGCTTCCTTTGTTCTCTGCCGGGAACGGGCCTGGCCGCCGGGCCCGGCCGGGCCGGACCGAGCAGAGCTCGTTACTCGATAGTGAGGAAATGCGGTGTTCCTGGGGGACATTTCGAGGTGTAAAACAGGCAGAACCGGGGTCTGTTCGCAGTCTTCGCCGAAATAGAAAAATCTGTCCCCCGCAATAAAAGCAACTCTTGTAACCGCGGGATTTCAGGGTTGTTTTTCCCCTTGGTCCTGACTGTCCCTGCGGGAAGGACCGTGCCCTTGGCTAAGGGTAAGGAGAGCCAAGGGCGTCCGGCAGCGCGGCGCAAAGAGCGTTTTTCAGCGCGGATAAAACGCTCCAGGGAGTCCGCAAGCCGGCCCGGCTCCCCGCGCCGCTCCGCGGAACGGCTGCGCTTGCTCTTCGCCGCTCTGCTCCTCACTCCCCGCGCCCCTGGCTCTGTCACAACGCGCAGAAACGGGCGATCAAATGGCCGCGGCGCCGGGGCCGCCACTCGCGCTGCCCCGCGGCCCCCTCAGCAGGGCTCCGCACTGACCTGCCGGCCTTGGTGACGATCATCTCGGTGCCCAGCTGGTTGAACTCGTCCCACAGCGCCTTCATCTCCAACTGCACGCTCACGTTGGCCACTTTGGGGTTCTTCTTCACGGGCGCCTTGGCGGCGGTGGGTGGCCCCGCTGAGCAGCCCGAGACGGCGGCGGGGCCCGCGGCTGCACCCCCTCCGGCGCCCTCGGGCGGCTCCGGCCCGGGGGGCGGCGGGTTGGCCCCGGCCGCCGCGAAGGGGTAGCCGTGCTGGGGCGGCGGGTGCGGGTGCTGCGGAGCCGGGCAGGGCTCGTAGTGCGGCGGCTCATGCTGTCCGTACGCGTCCCCCGGGGAGGGGGAGAGGTGGTACCCCCCGGACGCGTTCAGGCTGCTCAGGCTGTTGGCCGTGAAAGCTGCAACATCGCAAAAATGGGACAGCTGGGTGAGCCAGGGGCTGGAGATAGCTGAAATCATTCCAAAAACAGGCGGTCAGGGCTCGGCTCCGGCTCCCGCTTCTTCTCCCCCCGCCAGCCTCAGCGCACCCCCCGCCCGCCGCTCTGCTCCGCGCCGCTGCGCGGGGCGCCCTCCGCCTCCTCCGCTGCCCGCGCCCGGCCCAGCGGGGCCCTCCCCCTTTCCGCTCCGCTCCCCCCGGGCAGGCGGGGAGCTCCCAGCTCCCGCTGCCTCCTGCCTGCTGCTGTCACGGCTCCCCAACACACTTCTTTTTACTTTTTTTT